AAAAGCATGTTTACCAACTTTCTAACGCTAAGACCCTTTTGACGGCCATTTTAGCGCCACACAGTTTTGGCCACATGGCTCACTCGTGAAAGCTGACAAAAAAAAAGAGCATAAACTTGCAGCGATTGACTCCCGACAAATCATCGACGTCACTTGTTGACTGTGCGTCCAGTTAGCGACAGACATTGGCTACATACTGGATGGTTTCAATCACCCTCAGCCGTTGTGAATGGCCCAGTGCGGACTAAATACCGAGACGTACCCGTATCGGAGACCTCTATGTTGCGGCGTAAGCCGTCTCCACAGGAAGTGAACTCTCTGGCAAAAAATATTTTGTCTAGACGAATTAGTTACCGTGGAGCACATTCACAGTTGCCATGGCAACCCCAAAAGCTCAGTTACAAAATAAATTAAGCGTGGCTTTAAATAAGAGAGCCTCTAAAAGAAAAATTTAGGTGAGAAGGAACTTATGGGACACCCTGTATGCACCACCTCAAATCAATCTCATAAACATGCACGTCTAATTATAAATAGCTGCTATTACTTCACTTCAGCCTGACAAATTTCGAGCTAAATACCCATTTTGAGTGCCAAACTGGGACGCACGCCGCTGCTACTTTCCTCGGCGAGCCCGGGGGCGCGCCACGCGTCCTGGCAGAGGACAATACGCGGCCGGGCCGGGCCGATCGGCCAAAGAACGGCCGCTAATAAGCCGGGCCGAGGCTGTGTTTATGAGGCCAGTCGCCGACGGCGCGCCTCGGCGGCGCCAAGCCCGTCTCTGTCGGCGCCACGTGACGTCACACACACAGAGCGCGGGGCCCGATAGAGCTGCACGATAGAGCCGCGCGCGCGCCCGGCCCGGTGGCCACCGTCTGTCGCTGCTGCCGCCGCCGCCGGCACCCGGCCAGTTGCGTCATACCGTCGCCAGCCCTATCCCCGGGCGATGCAATCGTCGACAGGCGCCACTGTCTGATGAGCACTTGCGGACTATCTGGGGAGGTGACGGGCCGTGCCGACGGTGCATCGCCGAACGCCAGCGTCGGTGGCCACCGTCGGCCGACCCCGGTGACCCCGCAGTGGCGCCGACAGCACCGGCGCAAAATTAATGGACAATATGCTCGATAGTTATTCAATCAGAGTCGCCGCGACGGTAGCGGTCCTCCCATGGCGCCGACTGGCGGAGGGGCCGCCGCTGGAGGGTGGTGACCGAGAGTCGATTCGATGTTGGCAGGAGGTAGTGGACCTGTCCACAGAGCGTCGATAGGGATCGGTATGTGTAACCGTTCTCCTCAGGCGGGCCGATTTGCTAGTGAAATGACACTGATGACGTCAGAGAATAATAGCCAGGAGCGACACACCACTCGGCAGAATGAAAAGAAAGCCCGTAGCGTAAGACTATCCAGCTGCATAAATATTAACACACCAGCGGATCTCGAGGGTAGCTGTCAGTGTTGAATTTCACTTTGCCTTTGCAGAGCCGTCTTTACCTGCCGTACATCATAGTTTTGACGTGAATAGAAATGCTGATTGATCGCTTGTGGGTTCAGATGCATCACTTGACATGGCGACTTCTCACGGAGTCGAATGCAAACAGTAAATATCCTATCTCAAAAGCAGTGAGACAAACAAGAAATGTGCATTTTTAACCACATGCCTCGCGTGATTTTCGTGCATTCTGTTTGTGTGCTCTGAAATTCAAACGCAAAAGATGCACCCCTGCAAACGGAGCAGAGTAATTATTCATATATTGATAATGTGCAAAATGCAGTTGTTTTCTCACCGCGTCAGCATGACTCGACATAATAACGATCACGACCAGTATAATTGTGGACAGCTCATTTACTATTAACGACGCATTTTACAGGAATGTGTAAATTATGACAAGGGGAGTGGCACCGGTGCATCAATGCAACATATCATGGGGATGAGTTGAAACATGAGGCTGGGGTTCACTTAATCCAGAACTATATACCAGCTCCAAACACTTTAGGGTAACTGTGGGGAAGACGCACCCCTGGGTTAAACGCCTCCCCCCAAAAAATCGTAGATCTTATCGGCGGATAGGTGTTTTATCCTGTCTTTCAGAACAGTCAGCTGCTTGTTTACGTAGCTCTCTATTTCCGATTCTGCGTCTTGAGGAGCAGCGTGGGTAGGTGCTGATGTTGGTTTTGGGTGTTGTTTTTGTTGTTTTTACAGAAGATTCCTAAGCTTTTGATGCCCTCTTTATATCACAAAACTTGCTATTGTGCACATCACTCAAAACTGCGTTTTATTGTCATTCTGTTGAATTTATTATGCTGCGGCGTTAGTGGCGCGTTTTTTGTCAATATTTTGTTGACCGGAAATGAAGTGGATGGGGAAAGACGCCTACTCGATGCATGGGGCAAGACGCCCCCAGTTTTCTGAAAGGGGGGCGTTTTGCACGGTGGTGAGAGTGCAGGGTAGCGCTCTGTAGGTCGGGGCCGAAAAGGCCTCTCCCTGTCCTTTTTTGCTGATATATCCTAAACGACTGCAGATATCGTCACCAAACTTTCAGGACTCCTCCGGGCATCCATTTTACACATTGCAACAGCATTTTATTCCAAAGGCTATGATAGGTTGACCACAAATGACGTCAGAATGACGTCAAGTTCTGCCATGTTCATCATTTTCTGTTGATGGCTGGGGTGGGGGCGCTTTGCACATGGGTGTGGGCGTATTACCCAGGGTGTGGGGCAAAACGCCCTTTTGTAAGGGTATGCGGAAACCTTTTTGGGGGGTTAAATACCACACGCAAGTGTCTTTTCTTGGTCTCAAAGCGTAGTAAAAAGAATGAGCTAAATGATGGTGCCCAAAGGTTTGAGTAATCTGGGTTGGGTTGAGTGTCAGAAGGTTTCGCGCTTAATGGGGGCGTTTTTGACCTATTCACCCTACATTTGTCTAATGCTTTTGGCTGCAGGTTTCCTTTGGCTTGATTGGAATAGTTAATTAACCCTCGCATGTGTGCGGCATTAGCCAGCTTCTAATGTGTAGGGGGGGGGGGTCGGTTGGACCCCCCCCCCTTGCCGTTTGGCCCCTGATCGAGCTAGAGCTTCTCGGAAAAAACGAGCGTGTTGCCCGTGACGAGAGGAAGCCGATGATACCCAATTTTAAGGTCCTAGGTCATTGGTTGACCTTCCAGGTCAGGTCAATGACCCAAAGTCGGGAAAATCGGGACCTGTTAGAAAGTCGTAAAGTGTGGCTGCTAAGGGGTTTTTCGGGGTGCTGATCACGAATATCGTGTTAGTTTTGATCACAGATGATGTCTTGAAGCATTTAGACCAGGTCGGGTCAGGTCAGGTCAGGTCAACCAGTAGGCGTCGTGACGGGTATTCGTAGTACGTGTCAACCGCCTCTGACAGCTTCGTAACATGTTACGAAGTCGCCAAAACTACTTTGTAAATGTTCAAATGGTTGCTAAATTCGAATTCAGCTCCAAAAACTAGCCTAGAAACATGTAAAACTCGAAAAAGTGAACCGAGGTCACCCGAGGTCACCAAAGGTCAATGACCTGACCTGACCTTCAGGTGACCTTGACACACACGGGAGTAACATCAAATCACATGTTTGAACGTTTGAAACCACGAAAAGCTTGCAAACACGCGGCTAGTGCGAGCCGACATACGCGAAATCGCGATTCCGGCCAAACATGGTCTCGGAAAAGAGGTCACAGGTCAAAGGTCATTTGGGTCAGGGTCATGAAATTCTCAGGGTAGGTGTAAAATTGATCAATGCGAGGGTACTGAAAGTTTCGTCGCGATCGGCCGCTTTTTACGCGAGTTATTCGCGAAAAACCATGGGGGGGGTCCATCCGACCCCCCCCCCCCCCCTACACATGCGAGGGTTAAAACAACTGACTCCTATCCGTGCATACGGGCTGCTTTTAATAATGCATATCAGCAATGAAGCAAGGAAAAATGTGTGAACTATGTATGAAATACATATCAACCATTAAGACATGGTTACCACTTAACAACTTTTAAGCAGGGCTGATAAAGCAAAACGCATTTCAGTGACACCTATAAGTGGCCGAATCGGTCGGTCTTTCCTCAACCGGTAGGCAGGTAGTGTGCAGGGCCCGTTAGTCGTACCCCGAACAGAGGAGTGGCCGCGGTGACCGAGCCCTGACCACCACGGCGAGGAGCTCACTGTTTACTCGCGCCGATCAGCTGTTACAAAACCGTCACCAAGGACTCGAGTGAATGCAACTTGTTGCCACTCACTCCAAATGCAGCTATTACATCGAAGCTACGAGGTCCATAGTTTACACCCACTGATAACGAGTTACTTCGGGCTGCCTCGTGAACCGCACTTTTATCATGGTGTACAAAGATAATCCAATTGATACTAATTGAACTCAATCGTATGTAATTCATTCTTCCACTCAGACACTACAGATAATGTACTGTACCCAAATGGGACACAAAACATATCGAAGGCTCTTTCAAAGAAAATAACGGCCCACCTTTCCAGAAACCGTTTCGTGTGTGTAAAGTCGGCGGCAGATTACAGTGTTCGATGAGCTCCAGAAAGTCTGATGTGCATCAGTCACGTAGCATGGTCCAGTCGCATGTAGAACAACAATAACACCGTGCTCGTCTGTCAGCGGACAAGGACAAGGGGAGTGTGAACGGCATGTGATGCCAGTGGCCCTCCCCGCCCCCGAGATGACCCGACCTGCCATGTTGCAGTGTTGTTTAGTGCATGTATGCCTCGCGCCCGTGTCAAAACTAAGCTTCCCACTGACAAACACTAACCGGTTTACACAGCGTAACTGCTCAGAGAAAACAACGCTCACAAGAGCTACGTCCTGTGTCATGTCAATCTTTCTTCCGCTAATGATGAAACGACAGCGTTGTACCCTGTCCATTCACCAAGGCCCATTCGAATAGGTTCACGATAGAGGCTAATATTGCTGAAAAAGCAATGCCTTTCTCTCCAGAAATCTCCTATCTCCTTTCTCTTTTTCTGTCCTCCTTTGAAACGCCTAACCACTTATGATGCCGCCTTTTCGTCCGTTTTCATCTTATCATCGACTACCAACTATCACTCTACAAATTGACAAGTGAACCACACCGCATCATGTCTTCAGCTCGACAGGTGCCATCAGCTGGTACAGGTATGTACAGGTATCTACAGACCTATGTAGTATGTACAGCTCCAAGTGCTAAGGTAACTCTCGCCACCCTGACCGGGCGCCAGGCGGCCGCTCTGCGCGGGGCACAGTTCCAGTTGCATCATGGCGACATGGTCACCGTGTCAGGGATGTGTCGACAGCGCCAACTGTCTGGACTCCGCGGCGCCGGCTCTTGTTCTCGCCCTTCTCCCGTTCCATTGATCCCTTCTGGCAACCTCTGTGTACACGGAACAGGAAGAGATGTGGTGTGAGAAAAACATTGAGGAGGTTCCTGAATCAGTTGATTTCAGTGCAAACGGTAAACTCGTTCCCTTTTCGGTGGATGTTTTTTTTTTTTAAGCTCCAAATCACAGCCAGTGTGACCTTACTTTAAAAAATAGTTCCTCCAGTTGCACCAGCGTCATGAAATAGCTTCGCCAGAAAAATAGTGAAAGTTTAGGACGGCGACTGAGAACACATGTCCGGGCGGCCACCCTGCCGTCGTGACCTACCGCCGTCCCTGAGCCCTTCTCCTGCGTCAGTGGGGCGCTGCGCCGGCGATAGACCGATCACTCGATTCCGATAGATGGGAAAAAGAGCGAGCGCCCGACCGCCAGACTAACCGACATGTGTTTAAATGTCAGATGTTACACTGGAGCTCAAGAGAAGACGATTTGGTGACGCAAGTGGTGCGATTGACCTGCAGTCTCTTCCGTGGATTTTCCGGGTGTTTGGAACGCCGCCGGGCGGAGGACGGGAGGTTCTCGTGAAGGGGGCCACGGCGCTACACTACCGCGCGCCAGGCGGGCCCCGACACACGACCGAAGGCACGTCGATCGGGGGCGCCATTACACCATGACAGGCAGTCAACAGGGGGCGGGCACGTGGCCGATCTAGGGGCTCCCTGCAGCGAGGCGGGCCGTGAAAACAGCAGAGAACGGCCTACTGCGCATCGGTGAATGTTCACAAATATTGTGCTACTCGCTGATAGTCACGAAAGTGGAATGCAAAGCGCTTCTGAAAAGCGTGCATGTTGAAAACACCGATGACGTAGCATGACAATTTAGTTAGAATAGGCTTATGCAAGAGTAACAAGTGTTTTGCATGTAGCAACCATTTAGGTGGCATATTGCTAAGGATCATAATTTGGAATCAAGCATAAGTCCTGCAAATATGAAGATACGATTAAAGCGTTTTCAGGCGCCCAATTCAACTAGCGTTCACAAACAGATCAAAAATACAAATTGAACATGTGTAATGCAACAGGCTAGAACAGCTTATTCATAAATATACAGCCGCGTTACCTGATAATATCAGCGCGGGTTGGAGTGAAGGAAACCATGCATGCACTTTTCGGATTACGCTACTAAGCCGTGCCGATGCGAGTTCATATTTGGAAGGATATCCTCCGGGGTAATACCTTTGGTAAAATGTTGTGCCTAAACTTCTGCGCTCTATGAGAAATCTCGCCTTATCGGTAAAAATGGCACTTAAATGGCAAAAGAAGTTGAGCTGGTGAATGGTCTATTATTTATGGAATAGGGGCGGCAACGAAAAACGTTGGCAATCTTATCGCTAACGGTTTGAGCCACTCTGAACATTTAACTAAACGAATAATAGTGAGACACTTATAAATTATGATAGCAATTATTTGGAGTCGAAGCTGCCAACCTGATGAAACTACATTAATAATTATAAAATAAAAAATAACATACGATCTATGTAGTTGACATAATCTCGTTAAGTTGCACTTCCATCTGGTATGATCCCTCAACATTAAATTTATTAAGACAGCTGTTTAAAACCAACGGACGAACGATGCAAGTCAGTTGCGTGGCAAGTGTTAATATATAACGTCTTGCCTCCATATATTAATGGCTGGCATACAAAGTTGCTTCTCCAACTTTTTCCTGTTTAGTGGACAAGCCTCCTTGCCATTTTCGGTAAAAAATAGGCCGATTGTCATAACATTAATTGTGCCTAATTTTCTATTCTGACCATATCCGAGGAAACATAGGCATCTGTTACGATCACAAGCCTGGTTCGAAGCTCCCTTCCAAATTTGTCGAGGGCAATAAATTATAACCAAAGCTGTTACTGACGGTATCTGACATAACAGGGTGACGGAAAACAAATTGTGGCTCTGTCAGTTTGTTTTCAATATTATATAACAATTAATAACAGCAACTGAGGCAAAAGCAAAAATCGTTCGGGAGAACCACTCGTAAGATTACACGTTTCGCCTGTATCAGAGTTCATGGTCGCAACGAAACGCACCCTCACGTCGTCATAGATCCTTTGCAAGCATGAAAAAATGCACAGCACCATGGCAACAGCTAATCTTATTCTTAAGAAAAATTAACCTGTGTCATTTGAGAAATTCGATTACGTTTATGTATGTTTGTCTGGTGTGTTGACCCGTAACGAATTAATCTACCCACTGCCATGTCATTGTAACATTCGGCATGCTTACAAGTGACACTTGTGCAAATCTGTCTGTTCGCAAGGTCAGCTAAAAACGTTTCTTAAATGCAGAAACCGAAAAATGTATTTTAAACTCCCACCCCAACCATTCTCTGTCATCGTGACTGATTGTCAAAAAATGACATTCTTATTCTCTGTGTTGCACCTGTAAGTGTGAGACAGAAAATATGTGCAACGCGTTCTTGGGAAGATACGCTAGATGGAAAAAAAGCAAACACAGATGTCTGAGGCGTGACGGGGATAAAACCGTTGCAAGTATTCACAGGATGTTGCACGGCTTATTGATGTAACCTTGACCTTGATGCTGGTACATTAAAGCCCATTGGACTACTTCCACCATTGCGGGCAGGTAATTCTGACTGTCAGTTGTATTTGAAAAAAACTATCAGCTTTATTTGGTAGGCATATGTTTCTTGCTGATAACTAGGGAACTTAAATAGGACTCAAGCGAAAGGAACCTGAAAGTCGAAGCGGAATGATGATGGAAAGGATACCCTCTAAGTGTAACGCGAACACTGATAATATCTCGAGTTACCGGCCGCCGTACAGGGATGACATATTATTAAGAAACGCTTATAGGAAGCCCGAGATCACTGGATCGCAACTTTCGATGGGAAAAATACTTCAATAGACAATATTGACCGTCGCTATTGCTCAGCAGAGATCGACACTGGACTCAAATCAAATGACGAATGCTAAGCAGCGACATGATACGATATGAATTCAAGATAAATCATCTTTCCGCCACTCCTATGTAGTACCTAAGGCCGTAAGTAGACGCCCACTGGTCACAGCTCTATTATAGTATGCCGGCGACAAAGCAGGTGTCTCCCCACCTTTCCGGTCGCTCCCCTGCCGGCCCCGTGAGGCACTGATCAGTGATACGACGGCGCCTCATGACGGCAGCCACATCTCGAGGCGTAGAATTCCTAGAGGATGACGCGTGACCCATCGGTCTGCATCAGCGAGTGCTCCCACACGGAGCGGGGACGGCGCCGGCGGCACGCGAGGCCGATCGGACCCAGTCTTCCCACGGGCTGCACCCCCGCCGCCAGTGACAAGATAGGAGGGAAGACCCAACCGTCTGCCATGCGGCAGAGCTGAGGCCCCCGCTTGGACTACCAGTGCAGAATTAGAATTGCCTTAACCAACTCCATTAAGCAAATGCGCAGTAAACTAAGCAATAATTTAGACCTTTTTAGGGAACCAGAAAAATAAATAAAAAAACGGAACAATCATGAGCGCAAGTTTCCATTATCGCCTATCGGAGCATCAATGCTTTGTTCGTGACCACTAGCCACATTCCAAGAACGCAATGAAGAAAGAAGAAATTCGTTGTCGTCAAAATTGTGATAAAACTAGCAATTATTTAACGGCATTGTCATACAAAAGCCGTTCTCACCACAGGTTAATTGAACTTTATTTTTGGTGCAAGTTTGATTCATTTGGGTCAGATATGGACGTAAAATCTACAGACAAGGTGATTGGAACATATAAACTTTGATCTCACTTTTTCACCCCTCACCCCAATCACTTTGAAACACCCCTCACCCAGGACGAAAATCTGAAAAAAAATCAACCTAAAAAGGACACGCACATTTTCCTAAAAGCAACAAGCAGCAACAGCAACATAAACAACAAGTAGGCTTAAATGAAAATCGCCGAAAAATTCGAAACCAAACGAATAAAATGAATGTTCGTTTCGGTACTCACCAAAGCAGATTTCGTGACGATGTCGCCAGTTATCGCAGTCGTTCGTCCACCCTTGCTGACACTTCGGCCAGTGCAGTCACTAAACGTGCTCGTGGTTCGCTGGTCTCAGGATTTCGCACCGAACTTCGTCCTGCCGAACGAAGTGTCATGCAAGAAGCCTCCAGTTGTCCAAATGTCATACAAGAAGCCGGTCATCGCGTCGATACCCGTCCAACGTTTGTTCACACCACCAACCTAGCACCACATTCGATACACAGTACACACCCCACAGACATCCCCAGCGACGCGCTGCCAGACTGAGCGGCCGCCCGTGACGTCTCAGTCAGCTGAGTCTTGACCGGTCACCGGTCGCCTCCCCTGGGGTTGACCTTGGCAAGGTCGCACGGGCGAGTCCAGCGACAGATTTCGGGACAGGGGTGTCGCGTCAGCGGGGACTAGTGAGGTGATGCGATAAAAGTGTGCCGAACTATAGTTATCCTACTTTGCAACTGGAAAAGTAAGATAAACCTAAAATACATTAGCGCGTATTGTTAAAACTGCATGAATTGTGTTTTCACAAAGTTTCTTTCAGTATCGTTTATTGTATTATATTATTGACATAAAAGTGTCATTTTATGCACATTTTTATCTCAAGCGTTCATTAAACGTGTTCATTTAGGGATATCGGTTCTTGGGCTTTTAAAATATCCAAACAAACCAGAACCTCCGAATCGCGCGGTATACAAAACCTTTAGACCTTTATGCAGCAAGCTCTGCTAGGCCGCGATTATGACTTTGCCAGTCCATGTATTCAAATTAACGATGGAACATAGAGAAAATAGAAGCAACTAAACGCATTTTAATGAATTTTCGCTGGAAAGAAATAAAGTTCTAACTTCTACTGGTTATACCTGTAAAACGCCCAAAAGAGCAAATTGTTGGCAAATTATTGTTTTCCTTAACTGTTTAAATAAACTCTTTTTTGTACTCCACCACGGGCTTTGGGTCTGAACATTCTACCAAGAAAAAAGAGCCGTTTGGTGTGCAACCGACATGCATGCTGTCAGGAAATAGCGCAGTGTCACTAAAATTGTGCATAATTGGAAAACCAGAGGTCAACTAGTTTGAAACTGAGCACATAACTAGCATATATTCTGGTGTATATGACGCCGGCCAGACTCATTTCATATATCATCTGGAAGCAGCGCCCATACGATCGCGGGCGTGTTCTCATTACACTTTGGGCGGCGGTGCCGCCGCGGTCGTCAGCGCTACTGCTCCGACAATTAGCGTCGGCCGCAGACGGCCAATGAGCCAATAAACGTACCGACCGCCGCCAATAAACGGACGGCCGCCGCACCGGCCGCCGGCCACGATGGACGCGTTCCGAGCGATTCCGCCGTTTGGCAGCAGACTGCTCTCTGCGCATGCGTTTTATGCCCAGCCTCCAACACAACGCTCCATATAAAGAACAAAATTATTACCTCTATAGATATGCAAATGTGCCATACATTGACTGCAAAGCCTATTGCAAGTAAAATCACATTGGTGTGCGGAGGACGAGCAGGCCGGGTACTGTCTCTGACAGTGGCACCGGGCGCCGGACGGGGACGGCCGCACGCGCCGGCCACCCCTGACCTGGCCCGCTGACGGTGGGCTGACCGGCACACCATCAGGTGCCCACTGGCCACACACCGACCAGCCGCCAGCGAGCGGCCATTCTTGTTAGCGGATGGTGAAAGACATCACAATCAATGGGAGCGCCCGGCAGATAAAACAGGAGCCGGCCTGTAAACCTTCATAAAACAGCAGATCGGATGCAACCGGTGCAAGCAAATGGTTGACAAACAGGCCCTGGGGAGGGCGAGGGCCGGCCGGCCGGCGCGGCGGCGCGCCGGTGTGCCTCTCGTTGGGCGGGCGGCGCGTCCCCCGGACGCAGGCGCGCGGCAGCGTCCGAGGCTGTACGGCGGCCGGGTACATACGGCGGCGGGCCGCGGCGCTGGCCAGTGCCCAAGTGACGCCCGTCGCGTGCAGTGGCTGGTGCGGAGCGGCCGACGTGGAATGCCCCCGCGCCGACCCGGTGCTGCCACATCACTCGGCGAGCCTCAGTGAGACGCAGAGAGGGACACCGTCCGCCGCCGAACACAGCCGAGATGCGCCTGCCGCTGCTGTTTCTGCTGGCCGTGGCCGCCTGCGTGGCGGTCAGCGAGGCCAAGCCGCGCCGCCGACCCAAACCGCCCATCAAAGGAGACGACTACAGCCGACCGGGCCGCCGCCGTCACCGCAAGTCATCAGGTGAGTCCCTCAGTACCCCTTACACACCCGTGTCCATAACCAGCACCCGGGAACACCCCGGGGCTGTCTCCGGGGGGCCGAGCCGGGCCGGGCCGGTTCGGACAGCCAGTGGCGGTTGCACCAGCGAATGGTCGCGCCACTGACATCACGTTGGCCTTCTGACACCCTGTAAACACAGCGTCGCTCGTCGCTCGTCGGGTGACACCACGATCGGGGCTGACCTCCGAGCGGGCTGCGGGCGAGATGGTCCCGCCCTGCAGCTGTGGCCTCCCACCCCAAGTCGGGGCTCTGTGTCAGGGCTGTGACAGCTTCAAAACGGGAGCTCGCTTTTCGGACCTGACAGATAGGCCGCCACTGTTATGTGGGTGGGCTGGTTGGACCAGCCCGGGTCCAGGTCCTGTTGGCTTCAAATCCCGTTCTCCCACACGTGTCTCGAGCTGCCAATTTAGACAAGATCAATGAGTCACACAACGACTTCGCTCTAACCTGCCAAACGTTCCCAAAGATAGCCACTCTCGTGCTCCGTACGGCTGACATTGAACCTCATTTGCTGCACTTGGCCTATTACAACAGGCAGTCCAGCAACCAGGCCGAGCCAATCCCTCCCATTCATTTATTATTTTCCTTTTGAAGCTGGCCGGAAGAGGCACCGTACCGTTTTCGAGCTTGCTATAACCGGCCGTTGGACAAACCACGCGATGCATTCGGACTGTCAGTCGCCACATCAGGCCGGTTTTATTGACCACTAACTTTTGCTGAGTCTGCGGCGACCATTCATTGGACTGCTTCATTCATGTATCTTTTGTCGGCGCTACGCTGCGCCCAGACGGCCGAGAGACGCGTGCAGAGCCCGTCGGAGCTGGGGAGCGGCTCAGCGCAGCATCACACGGTCTATCTTATTGAGATACGTCCCCTAACCGGAACCGTGTTTGATATACAGCAGAAAATACGGGCGATACTTTAACAAATTATTATTTGTTTTTAAGTAACATTTCCCATCTTGCCACCCACTACCCAGGCCAGTTACTGAAATGCAAAGAAAGGCGTGTTTATCATAAGACAAGGCACGCTACCGAACTTTTTTTGCCGTCCGCGAGTCGCGACATTCGGCTAACATCAGAAATTGGGTGATGGATATGACGAACTTCTGTCCTGTCCTGCTCGCGACCACTTTCATGGCTACGCGGGTGCCCGATGCCTGTGCAACTGTTCGCTTCGAGGTCAGCGCTGTAACCCTTACCACCGTTCGTTTTGATCACTGAAATCGATGCGATCCTGTCCAGGATTTTGTTTCCCACCACATGAGCGACCAGAAATCGGTGCAGCGTTTGCATATTGCGCACATCAAATAGTGCTTGTTTTGTCATCGGGGGCGGTCATTGGACATCCATGCCGCCACAGTAAGCACAACACTTCTATCAGCAATGGTGGGGTTGGGGTTGGTTATCTCGGCGTAGCGGGGTACGGCCGTTCCGTCGAGCTGACTACGGCCGCAATGAAGTGCTTAGAACAGCAAGAGCAGCAGCGCCTCAGCCGGTCGGAACCCACGCCCGGCATCGGGCAGTCGAACACTGAGACACATCGAGCACCGTGAGACAAAGCCGAGACACAGTGAGACACCACGAGACACGGTCAGACACAGCGAGGCAGCACGCTCTCGCTGAGAATCGCCGTCGCAACACGGTCTGAACAAAACGGCAACGGGCCGGGCGGCTGTGTTGCCGACCTGTCGTCCTACCGCTCACACTACCAGCCTATGAATATTTCATGCGTGTTCGCAGCTCCTCCCGCCGTCACGGCGACACGGGAGGGGTGTTCGGCGAGCGAGAGGCTGTGTCGAACCACCACTGATGAAAAGGGGGCAGAGATGGTGGTCAGATGGCTCGGAATGGGGTGTAGTTCCCGGGGCGGACGGGTGAGGTCAGGGGAAGCAGCGCGCGTCGCGGCCGGTCCGGTGCCGGGTTTGCCGGCCCGAGGCTGCGAGCCGATTATACGAGTACAGCGCACAGTGAATTTGGTGGGTGGTCTCGAGAAGATAGCGGTTTCGGTGCGTGTGTCTTATAATCTGCTTCCGGATGGCATGATCCGGGATTTCCTGTTGAATGCTGAGAGGGATTCCCATATAGGCTTAGGATATAGGCAGGCCTTACGGAATGTCCATTGCGACTGCCGGTAACGCTTACCATTTTCTCCCAAAAAGGAATTGGAGCTGGGAATAACATGAAAATGATATTTGTTTCGTCAACAAATTTGACTTGATAATGCATGCATGGAAACATGCAAAGGCTTTCGTGTCCTTCCCACTGCGGACACAGCCTGTAGATACATCTAGATGAAAACATACCTATTTGGCATTTCCGTAACGCAATCTGAATAACAAATATGTCATGACAAATTCAATGTGACACATAGACAAAGAATTCAGCCTCATCATGACTGGATAAAATTCGTTCCGGCAGATTCTCAGAAAAAAATACATGTCGGAATGTCAGTGCATGGTTGAATCAGTTCCTTGCTTCATGGGACCGGCAGTAACCCGCAGCAGCAGATCCGTCGATTGTGCGTGGGCGCGTCGTGTCTCTGCAACTGCCTCTGCCCCAGCGACATACCACTCGATGAGAGAATCCATCAATATTCGACACATAGAGCTGAATACTTGAGAGGATCTCACAGTTTTACTGCGGTCGCGTTGTTGTAATGTCATAAAAGAGTTAACTTGTCCGTTGTCATAATTCCACGAAGGGTTGTTTTCACTGGTTGCACATTTTACTTATTTGGCCACGATTTGGCACTAAATCATGAATTATTTGACACGTATAAAGTAAAAGCATTAGATTGTGCGGATGAGTTAATATTTTATATCAGTCTAATAAACATTTACATTATATGTTTTACACGAAGTAGTTAATTTTATTACAGCAAACATATGGCTAAGTTTAATGTCAATCACCATCCAAAGCCCATCTTTAATTCATGCTTTAAAACCCCTAAATTCAATTTTATCCCATTAATGCCGGAATTTTTATTTTTTGATTCTTAAGTTGTCCTTAACAAATGTTAGCCACACGGGTCCCAGTAAGAAAACTGTGCAAGCTTAAAAAAGAAATTCCATCGGTTCTCAAGTTATAAGCATGGGTCATAAATGACCCAACCGGCATTAGTATAGTCACAAATAAGGAGTCATCACGAAAACCAATTTAGCTAGATACCTTATTGTGTATACTGTATAGCGGCCTCAGCCAAACAATATTAAGAGGCACTGCATTGCAATGCTTTGCAACGTCTCATTGGCGAGGCCGTTGGTGCCGCTGGCAGGCCTGTGGTGCCCTTGTTAGGCCTCTGGTGCTCATAGGCCTGACAGGCCTGTGGTTTCCCTGGAAGGACTGTGGTGCCCCTGGGCCCTGACAATTGCCTGAGGTGCCCCTGACAGGCTTGTGGAGTCCCTGGCAGGCCTGCGGTGCTATTGCTAGGCATGTGGTGCCCCTGACAGGCCTGTGGTGCCTCTGGCGTGCCTGTGGTGCCCCTGCTAGGCCGCTGGTGCCCCTGGGTCCTGGCAGGACTGTGGTGCCCTTAATAAGCCTGAAGTGCTCCCGACAGGCCCGTGGAGCCCTTTACAGGCCCAAGGTGCCCGTGCGAGGCTGGTGGTGCCCCTGTGAGGTCGATGGTGCCCCTGGCCCTGGCAGGCCTCTGGTGCCCCTGGCAGGTCTGTGGTGCCCCCTGGCAGACCTGTGGTGCTCTTGCTAGGCCGATGGTGCTCCTGCAGGCCTGTGGTGCCCCTAACAAGCCTGTGGTACCCCTGACAGGCCCGTGGTGCCCCTCGGCCGGCCGAGTCGCCGGCCCGCCCCGCGTCACGGCCCCGCACGACCGGTCCACTCATGATATCATAACATCGCAACACTAGGCCTGTGGTGCCCCTGTCAGGCCTGTGGTGTCCCTAATAGGTCGGTGGTGCCCCCGGGCCCCAAGGGAGGTCATGAGTGACCCATATGACCCCTCTCCTTTGGATCCGCCACTGTGATCTGATCACAACCCCCAGAAATAAATAATCGTATAATCATCAAATGCTTCCCTTGTATTCAACATACGAGAAAATTGACAACACTATTGCCGGCTGGGTCATTTATGACCCAAGGATATTTAACGAGGAAAAAAAGTTATCCGATGGCGACAAGAAGGGCAAAATTATACATTATGCCTTTTTCAGACAAATTTAAATGCCAGGTGGACGATCATTCAACAGATAGTAAAGTGCAAACATAATATAATATTACTTTTTGGGGCGGCGCGCCATTGCCAGTGACCGGCGGCTGTGCAGTCCCGTCGTCTTTGGCTCCAGAAACTTCAGTGGACGAGCTCACACAAGTTTTATGCGGCTCAGGCGCTCGTCACTGAACCCACAAATCCAACAAAACACACGCACAAGTTCCTCAAAGTGCCACTTGCCTCCATTAAGAAAGAACATTAAAATTTTGCTTTTGGGTCATATATGACCCAAGCGGCATTAATGGGTTATTGATCACCCTCCGTCCTCATATCGAACACGCTTGTGGCGTTTCCGCTTTTTATATATATCATGAACCTAGCGCATCGACGAGTCCCTCATGCGCACCATACAACAAATCGATATCTGCCTAAAGTGACCCGCATGAGGGCGGAAAGCTGCCATTTCGGAGCGACTATCCCTTTTGTCAGTTCTATACCGACTACACAGCATTCTCCGAACGCTCAGTTCAGCTCCCGAACCGTCCCAACTCCCTCAATGCGCCATCAGCGAGCCGGGGCCGGCGCCGCGGTCTCCCGGGCGTCATCAGAAGGCCGGTGACGCGCATCGTCCATCCATCACTCAATGATTGCAGTGTGTCCAGTGGCCGTAGCGAGACGATGGCAGCCAGACGATCGGAGAAACCGTCCGTCATCTATGGCGTGTCATTTCTGACCTGTCGCTGAACATTCAGCGCGCTGTCTTCTGATCCACGACTGCGCCAGCTCGGTCGCTGTGC